CTCACATCAACCAAACTATGCAACATCTCTTCTCATCAGTATCACCTCCAATATTTAAGCCAATCACTAGCCAAATCAAATTCGGAGAAAATGAGATTTTAAAATCTATAGCCAATAGATTAGATAAGCTTGATAAGGGAAAAAATATTAATWTTATAGYRGAAAARGATAWTGAATRTATACAAARTTCTARACAATCAGAAAGTGATATTCAAGAGATCAATAMAATAAAAAATAAAATGAGATCTAATAAACCTTATTATCCAAGACATACTGCACCAGATTTATTATTTGAAGAACACCATAAATATTCTCATCATGCGTATACTGGAAATGGTATATACGAATGGAATATTGATGGACGTTCTGAATATGAAATAATGAATTTATTACAAGAAATGGGTATGGCATCCACAACATTTAAATCAACCAACGATAAACTAACCGATAGACAAACATGCGTTATGATAATAGCATGATTTACAGGAGCATTAAAATATTGGTGGGATAACTCCCTAGATGCATACACCCAAAGTTCTATAGTCAATCATAAAGAGATAGAAAGAACGCAAGATGAGGATGGCTTTGTTATAGAAAAAGAAAAAGAAAATGCTGTAGAAGTATTAGTCCATACTATAATGATGCATTTTATTGGTAATCCCACTGATGAATTAGAAAGCAGAAAAATAGTTTTAACAAATTTAAGATGTCCAACATTAAGAGATTTTAAATGGTATAAAGATATTTTCATAGCCAATACATTTCAACAAAATGATTGCAATCAAGCTTTCTGGAAAGAACGGTTTATCGCAGGATTATCAACTTTCTTTGCAGAAAAAGTAATCAACAAATTAAAAGAAATTTCTGGAGGACAACCTGTCCCCTGGGATACTATCACATATGGTCAACTATTTGCATTTGTTAAAAAAATAGGACTATCAATATGCCAAAAGCAAAAAGATAAAAAACGAAATGATAAATTCAAATTTGGAATAACCATGGGTTCATTTTGTGAACAATATGGTTATGAAAAWTTTAATCCACCATCTAGGYTCAAAAGAATAAAARATAGACATAMACGATCCAATAATATAGAATATTACAATAAAAATAAAAAATTTATTAAACCAGCTAATCAAAATTATTCAAAAACTAGACATTATTCCAAGATTAACAAAGGTTTTAATCCTAAAAATAAACAAAAAATAGTATACTGGAATTGTAAAAGATCCGGTCATAGATCCATGGAATGTAAAATGAAGAAAAAGATAAACGAAATATTCCAAGATCAACCTGACATTCAAGAAAAATTAACTAAATTGCTAATATCCGACTTCGAGCTATCAGAAGAATCTGATAGTAATTTTTCGATAAATGAAATAGAAAATTCAAGTGAATCCTCAAAAGAAACACAAGAATTATCTGATAATTTATGCAATTGCAAAATAATCAACGTAATAATTAGAAATAGTGATAAACAATTTTTACTAGATATCATAGATAAAATAGATGATCCAGAAGTTAAAAAGGATTATTTAATAAAATTAAAAGAAATAATAGATCAAGAAAATCAAATAGATACACCACAACCATTTAGTCTCAATAAAATATTCGAAAAATATCCAACACAAATTCTATTCAAACAAGTATCAACAGGAGAACTACAAAACGAGATTAAGCAAATAAAAGCACAAATTAAAGAATTGTAAATAACCGTTAATCAACAAGATCTTAAACAATTACAAATGGATGCAAGATTGTTAATAGTCGAATAAAAAAACCATGATACTCAAGCATCGTCAAGTAATCCAAATGTAGAAATTACCCAAGGAATAGAGGAACAAAATATCGAAGAATATATTCAAATAATTAATAAAATTAATTATCAAAAATGGTATACAAATATTACTCTACACATAGGAAATGATTTTAAAATAAATATTATAGCATTAATGGATACCGGAACAGATTATAACTGCATCCGTGAAGGTATAATTCAAACTAAATATTATGAAAAAATCACAGAACGATTAAGCGGTGCTAATGGTAGTAATTTAAAAGTACAATACAAATTACCTTGTGCAAAAATATGTAATCAAGGTTACTGCTTTAAAAACCAATTTATTCTAGTCAAAAACTTAACACAAGAAATGATTTTAGGAACTCCGTTTTTTACTCAAATATACCCGTTTAATGTAACTGAAACAGGAATAACAACCAAAGTCGTATGAACAAAACTATTATTCAATTTCTTATCTCCAATGGAAACCAAAGAAATTCTTAGCCTTCAACAAAATACTATCCTCAAAACCATTAATTTAATAAAAGGAAAACAAGCTCATATTCAACATCTTCAAGAAGAAATATCATATCAAAAAATAGAAACACAACTTAAATCTACTTATGTAATAGAAAAGATAAAATCTATAAAAAAATGATATATTAAATCAAATATGCTCAGATCTACCAAATGCATTATGAGAAAGAAAACAACATACTGTTGATCTCCCATATATAAAAGAATTCAGTGAAAAAAAAGTACCAACCAAAGCACGACCTATTCAGATGAATAAAGAATTATTAGAACATTGTAAACAAGAAATAAATGACTTATTAAAAAAGATTAATCAGGCCATCTAAATATCTTTGGAGCTGTTCGGCCTTTTATGTTAATAATCAAGTTGAAAAGGAACGTGGAGTACCACGATTAGTAATTAACTATAAACCCCTTAACGATGTACTCCAATGGATTAGC